GTGAGCAAGAAATTGGGGCAAGACCTCAGACCCAAAGAAATCAAGCCGTCAATTATTAATAAGCAGTGTGTTGTTTACAATTTTTCATGTGATCTGTACGATGCAGATTATGTCGGGTATACAGCCCGACACCTTCATCAACGCATTGCTGAGCACAAAAATTCGGCAATCGGTAGACATTTCTTAGAAGCTCATGGTAACAACAACCTTTTGAGAGAAAGCCAATTCACGGTTTTAAGAAAGTGCCAGAGCAAATTTGATTGCTTAGTATTTGAAATGCTCTTCATTAAGAAACTTAAGCCCAATTTAAATATCCATACGTGCGAAACTCTTTGTTTGATATTTTCTCACGTTACAATTTTTTTTAATCAGCTATTGTTGTTTTTTTTAGTATTTACAGACCAAAAATCACTATCTTATTTTGACTTGATAATGACGTTCAGCTAACGTCGAAACGTCGTCGCTTTTTAGCAATTTTTTTAATCTTGAAATGATTTTAAGAAATGTTTTATCGCAATTTTTTATAGTGAAATGGGTTGAAATTAGCGTAATTTAGCAGCAAATAAGTCGTTTTAGCTAGTTCGCACATTTTGCGCGGTTCAATTGTTATTGTTTCTTTAATCATTGAAACCAATTTGGACCAATGTAGCTAGTTTGTGTTTTTGTCCAAATCAGTAGACTGGTTATGCTAATTCAGCTAGATTGTTTAGCTTTTGCAGTTTAAGTGTTTCCGGTAATTTGACCATTCCAGCTACCACTCCAGTTTCTTTGTGCATTTCGTTTAGCTAGCAATTTCAGCTAACTTGACAATTTGAACCAAACAAAAAGCAAAAACTAGCTGCGTTGGCTCAACTGGTTTTAATGATCAAACAAACTATAAAAGAACAAATTGGCAAATTGCATAATCTATCTTAGGTCATTGAAATTGATCAAATGGTCAAAGTAGCTTGATTTAATCCACTATAGAAAATGCATATCTAGCTAAATTGGTTTGAAAGCACAAAATGCACATTGTAGCGTAATTGGTTCAACTGGTTAAATAGTCAAACTAGCAGAAACAATTAAATTCGGCAAAATGCACAATCTACCAATTGGTTAAAGCATTTAAAACAATCAAACTTGCTTAAATGGGCTTAAATATCCAAAATACATAACTTGCTTAATCGGTTCAACTGCAGGTAATTCAATAAAGGAGAGTGTTAATTCAGTGCGAGGAATTAACAAATTAGACTGAACAGTTCCTTGAACTGTTTAGCCGGACTTAAAGATGTGAAAATATCATTTTATATTATTGTTTTGATCGTATGCGGTTGTTTTGACCGAACGCACTATGTCACTTGCAGGGTTTGAATAAATTACTTTTGCACTTGATACTTCTGTGTAATTATGATAAGCTATCTCGTGTTTTTCATGTATATAACTAATACGTAATCACATGATTTTTCTCGTGCAATTTGGAATAAATAAGCACTTGTAAATTTTTTCAGACTACAAATTGCAAATTTTGTTGGTCTTTGAAAAAATTTACTTGTGCTTATTTATTCCAAATTGCACTTGAAATCATGTGACTACCAATGCAAACCCCTCAGAAGTTAAAACTCGCAAAATTTATTTCAACCAAAGGTAAGGTACAGGTCCGATAAATTGACCAAGCATTGAAAAGGGTAGAAGGATTTAGTGGAATGTCTTTACCTTGTGTTAACCAGGAGTATTTGTCTTGATTTTTTTCCCTGGAATCACAATTTTTATTCTATTAGTGGGTTCGTAAGAGCCCTTCATCTCAGTTACAACGAGGAGTGGCTAAAAGTTTGGCATGCCTTTTTCCTAGTTTCGCCAGGAAAGTCGATCAGCGGAATTCTCGCTTATATACAGTTTTGTTATGTTACAGTTATGTTTCCTTTTATTTGCACAGTATAAGAGGGTTTTAACCCCCACAATTTTTCTGGAGTTTTGAACATCAATTCTTCCCCAGTTTAACTTGCATTATTGCGTCAAAAAGCCAGTATGGTATTATGGGGCTGCATGGTTGACAAGTGTTTTGTGTGCATTAAAAGAGGAACTTTTATTGTAAGTAATCTCTGACAATCTGCTTTGAATTACAACATTAAGTGTCGTTTGCGTCTTAGCACAATTTTCATTAGCTAACTTGAGATTTAATCAATAATAATTTAGTACTTCAGCTTGAGGTGTCAACGTAAGATAATTCCATCATACCGCAAGTTAAAAGGGGAAAATGTTTGAAAGTGAAGGACATGAAGTGGAAAGAAATCGTCAAATGAAAACTGGAACAGACATCAAACTTCTGTATTGTAATATGATATATACAATTGAAATTACTCTTAGGCTATGTCTCTGAAGGACTGAAGTTGAAAACGTTATCTAACATAGAATAACGTGGACATTGAAAAATGTGACGATGGATTGCTTAAATACAGGTATTCCGTATTATTACACCGGTACAACGAAATATCAATTGCCTTTATTTCTGATGACCTTTTAAAATTGAAGATAGCATACAGCGAAGTTAGGATGGCAGACCCTTCTTTTTATCTTGATTGTGGAAGCTATCAAGGCGAACCCTTAGATACAGCTACTAATAATGGCAATTGGACCGAGTGCAGTCCAATTCGGTCTGTTATCATACGAGTGATTAACAAAATCGGACGACCGCGAAGCGGGAGTATGATTTGTCAATCACAAGTATGATTACGACAAAATTGGACGACACAAAGTCCTGCTACCAATTAATCATAACCATTACAATTTACGAAAAAAAAAATACATTTAGGACAAACATCTCTAGTAGGGACAATGTCTAAAGTAAAAAACTTGGAAATTCCTCAGTTTATTTTTCAGGGCAAGTGGTTGTTGTTATGGTTATTGTGATCAATTCTGTGATTTGGTGGCTTTATCTAAGTGGACTTTGTATGATTGGCTGCTTCAACTGTCCGATTACAGGTTTCCGATTACAGCCAACTGTCCGATTACAACTGTACAGAGTGATTAGCGAAACATAAAGCAGCTGATGCAACAATCACATTTGGGGAAGTTGTAATGGCTATAATTAGTATTGTGATTCACCATATGGAGCATTTTTTAACAGGATTCATTCGAGATTGAGCTGGGCAATTAAATGCTGCAGCGAAGTCCTTGGAGTTTGACATTTCTCCAACAACCCTATAAAGAACAAAAATCGAGGAATGACGTCACTATTCTTCAATGCAATAGTACTGTCTAATACCTATCACAATGAAATCAAATTGATAATCTCAATCGCGATGACGATCAAAATTTTAATTGCAGTCATTATCACAATTGTGAGGAGGAGGTCTGATTGGCCTTAAAGATTGTATCAACTTAGACGTTGAAAGTTTGAAAGTTTAAGCCATCACTTTTCCGAGTGTTAAAATGGGGCTTAGGAGGGGACAGTAAATTGGACAAAAAAGTATAACGAAATGAGACGAAACAAAGAAGACTGGCCGTGAAGAAAACTTAGCTTTGTGAAAGGATGAGCACTATCAAAACACGTGGCCTCTCGAAACAGATGATAACACCCCTGTGCTCATTATTCCCGAACATTGCATATGAGAAACAGGCTATATTTCAGCTTTATTTGGGAAGGTAAACCCTAAAAGTTAGAGAAACATTGATGGAGAAAATGTCAGACGTTTCTGTGGTCGAAAGAGCGTTAAAAATTGCTTGAGACGATAGTATACAAAACACATCTCCTGCTTCATGGAGAATCATTTCATTTGCCCCAAAGTAAATTATAATAAAGTTCAGATATAACGCGCGCTGTCACTGGTTGAAAGAGCGTGCTCTATCAGAGTACAAAGCATAGAGCTGAGCTAAATCTGTCACATTTAACGGATTCTTTATTAAAAAACAAATGCAGAAGCCCTGACTGTGTTCTGTTCTCAAGAAGTGGAGAGAAACACTCGACTACGTCTCGTGTTCCTCCCCACACTTCTATCGTGCTCCAGCGGGTTCCTGCGTGCTTTCCAACAAAACAGAGCACAGTCTAGGCTTCTCTATCTGTTATATAACTATAAAACTAAACTTCTTAACCAACAAAGCGTCTTCTTTTTTACCAATATACCAAGCGATTGTACAATAGAAACCAGAATTTAATAACTCTTCATTAGAGAAGAAACAAATTATGAATCTGAAGATTGAAGGATTGTTTTGTAATTCAGTATTATCATAATTATTACCATCATCATGTCTTTTGTAAGCGTTGCTAGTATTGTAAGTTTTCACAAATATGATGAATGTCACACCAATTGTGATGCAAGTAATTATTTCGGTATGTTTGTAAGTGAAGTGTGCTAAAGAGCAATATGTTTTGCGCACGTAATGCACAACGGATGGTAAACTAACTATACGTTCAGGTTAGTTATTAATGTTTGTAAAGGTAATGACGTGATTTCGAGGGCAATTTGGTGTCGATAAGCACGAGTGAAATTTTAAAAAACAACAAAATTGGACGAGCCCGTAGGGCAAGCGCAATCAGTAGTCTTTTAAAAATTACAAGCGCTTATTACACTAAATTGCAAGGCAAATCAAGTTATTACTTGTTGATCATGTACGTGAAAAGAAAAAAAAAGGCACAGAAGGTCAAGACAGACGAAATTTTGAAAGCGTGCGCGTGCTATTTGTAATTTGCACTCGTACTACAACTTTGCACTCGTGTTACATGAGAATTCAGTCGTTTTCAGCCAATCAGAAGCGCGTAGTTTTGTCATGTACATTGTTAATAGTGTAATTTTGACTCGTTTTGAAATTAATCTTCATTAAGTAAGTCATACTGGCCATATAACTTATTTGTAGTGTTGTTCTTAGTGTAACTGATAAATAATAATGTAATTGAAATAATGGGTGAGTAAAGAGTAAAGATCTGGTGGGTGAGCTTCTGAGTCTTATGAACAATTCCAGAAAATTATATTTGCCATTTTAAATTTCAGAAGCCGCAAATGAGTGGACAGAGAATATGCCATAATTTGGTGGTGAAGACGGTGTGGACCTAGAGAAAGAACGAGTTTAAGGCCATTAGAGTAGATGCCCAGAACCCAGAGTCATTGTGAACCCTGTGAAAGGTGCGGCCACTGTGGACAACATGACACGTAGAGTTCAACGACCCGCGAGAGACGTTGACACTTAGATACGGAGACTGTTGAAAAGACAGGTTATGATTAGAAAATCGTCGACGTAATTGAAAATTGCTTGGAAACCATGTCTAGACATGGTGTAGACAACATCATAAGAGAGAGGATCAAGAATTATTGGAGTGCAGGAATGACCAGAGGCGAATATCCACGAGCTACCTATAGCAAAAAGGGTTATTTCTTCCAAAAATCTAGCGAAATCTTTGCGGTTGACAATGCCGAGGAGAGACAGGCACCCAACACCAGACAGACTCGGCATCAACGATAATGTAGAAACAATTCGTCTAGGAAAAGGACACTACAGTGTTGATAGACTCCATCCAAAAAGACTCCGGTTAGCGTTTGCTGTGATCACGAGGTTGGTTGCAAACCATAATCGGGCCAGATTTCCCTGAGCATTTTGAAGAAACGCGACTAATATCATGGAAATGTCCTCTATACCTGAAGTAAACTCAGTGCACGCGGCACTAGCATATAGTTAGCACTAGCATAGTTATCTTTACCGTGACTATTCACACAAGAAAGGTCAGATTCTGGGATAACCTCAAAATCATTTACAAGGCCATCATAAAGAAATACTCTGAGTCGTGCAAAAGTTCCTTATCCCAAGCGGGGAATTTCAAGTTTATCCTCCATCAGGGATGAGCTACAAAAAGCGGAGTCTTCAAGCGGATGATTAACTACGCAAGCAGGAAGTCATTTGTCCGATTTTTGGTAGAACTAGTATTTGAATAATGCATACAAACATGCTTGAACTCCCAATGCTGCATGTTAAGGAAATAATTAGGGGCTATTATTCCAAATAAAACGCAACCCTTTGCTCGAAAAATACAATCGTCAGTGGCATGGGAGGGAGAAGAATTACCAAACGGAGCTTTACTTTTCGCGAGCTTGTCCTCCAGCTTGAATGGAGGAAGCGAGAAGGCTGCGAGGATGCCTCGAGTAAACATGAAGTCAATGTAGACACATAGTGGTGATCAGAGAGAAGGATGAGGATTGCTGCTCAGCAATATTGGGGATGACTCAGCGTAAAAGCATTTTCTGGCCAACAACAAGTCATAGTTCCATAGTATCCTGGTCGGTTACCTTGGTGAGAACAGACTTACTGTCATTATTTGGTGCTTAGCCAAAATTTTCATGAGACAGTCAGCAAATTTGTGATCGAGGCAAATCTTAGTCAACCCGTGATATTGCGGAATACGAAACGAGCGCACATGATAACGGAACAGCTATAAAAGTTAAACGGTATCGAAGAGGTAAAGAATTCGTTTACGCACTCTTTACTCTCGCTTAGAGGCATAACAGTAATTAAAGGAAAATGTGCATCATCATTAGGTTAAGTGATCTCACCAAGGCAAAAGCAAAGAGATTAATTTTTATGGTTAAGTACAAATACTTTCTTTTGCTAAGATTAAGCTCTTCGCACTAACGAAATCACATGAGAAAATTTGATTGACAGACTTCAGTGGGAAATATTAACTATATAACAGCAGAACGTAAAACGCCAGCAATAAATTGAGACAAGAAATGGCAGTGACCCATCTAATTCATGTGACACATCTAATTTACATTGAAATTACATTGACATTGTTATGCCGGACGAGACCTTGAAGAGGGCGCCTCATCGGCGATATTTTGTTTTACACCGATGCAGGGTTGTTGGAGAGAGCAGTGGAACACCAAAAATTTCTAGGACTAAAAGATAGAGGTGTAACATGTGTTACATTTTCGCAATGAATCAAGTCATGACTTAGAATGAGTATTTTAAAACATTGATTTATAAAACAGGAGTACCTTAAGCCACTAATTTGCTCCAAAAGCTTTATAGTTGTTGACAGCAAGATTTTGCGAAGGCCCTTAATTACGTGAGGCTATAGGATATGCCTTGATTCCTTTGGTGTAGATGTTTACAACTATATCATCTCACTTTGCAAAATAGCAGCAAATACTTATGATGGAAGAGATGCAAATTCTATGTTGATAATAATGTTAATGATAACAAAAATAAATGAAAATGGTTATTAAGACAACAATACGTTCCCATTGAAGTCGAATAAGATTAAGCCACGAGTCAGGTCATAGATGTTAGTGTGAAACATCAGCACTTTGAGATCAACCGTAAACGAAGAAGAGGAATGCTTAGCGGGTTCCTAACACGGACAGTACACGAAATAGAATGAATTGGAAGGTATCTAAACCTCAGAAGAACAGATCTGACATATTTTACTTGTGTCAACGCAGTGCATTTGTAAAACCGTCGCAGGCAGCGGCTTTAAAAAAGCCGAAGTGAAATTGCACACGTCATGTCATGGATGTATGGCCGTACAGTACAAAAGGGTTTTTACCATGGTAGCTCCTTGGGAAATAGGTAAACCTTGTGCATGCGCTATGTCATAAAAGGGATTCACGGGAGCAACACCAAACATTTCAAATGGCTGATGATGTATTTTGGAAACAGACGTTCACCAATAAAAAACTCTATGGTGGGCTGCTTAGACTATGAGGTATGGCAAAAGAAAGTGGAATGGGTTTAAGAAGACTTCGTGCAAGGCGTGATGATGAGATTACACACCATCTGATAATGAGGCAACCAGTATTAAGAATCGGTACAAAGGATGGAGAGTTTTTAGCTGTATTTAACATTTGAAGGACACCAGCCAAAAAAGAATGTGATCACGGACCTTAATGTTTGACAGCTATTTTCAGAGAGATGTCTAGTGTCACTAAGACCTCGCTAGCTTGCCGACTTAAATTGAATGTGCTGTGAACTTGAAAAAAAATGAAAACTTTTATCGGCTGACAATAAGCATTCCCATTTTCTGAAGAATGTGAAAATTATCTCAAGGAAGTATATGCGTGACTTCAATGAGGATTGACAATTGCCTGAGAAGCAGAAGGGCTACAGGAGAAGTTTACGCGATGAAACGAAGATTCCTGCACGAAATTGTTACGAATCGTTCTGTGGGCTTTAAGGGAGCCTTAGACCAACCATATTACATGGCCGATTTGTAAGCGCATGGTCAAGATGGCTGGATATTGGCTGACTGTTGTTATTACCAATTTACTTAACTTTTTCTTTTTCAAATGCATAAAGGGGTAATTTTCTAAAGAAACTGTGGTGTTGCATAGGTGGGAGAGTATAACAGAGTAATTTAGTTTTATCAACTGAATCGATAACGTAAATTGGTCACTGTAAAGATTTTAAAAGCTGACGTTTCGTGTGTTAGCCCCTCGTCAGAGCGATTGACGAAGGGCCAATTAACGTCATCAACTCAGCTGATAATACTTCTTCACCCTTTTTGAAATACAGTAGGAAGTGTCAACTAAGTTCTCTTGTCATTCAAACAATTGTTTTTTTCGTTTAATTTGCAGATTAGTTTTTTCTTCATATATAGATATTCATTCTTTGTGTGGAACCCTCATTAGCTTGGTTTTTTTTCGAGTCGAGGTCTATGAAAACGTAAAAAAAAAAAAAAATCAAGCTAATATCCAGCCATCTTGTCCGACAAGCCTGATCAATACAGGATTTATCATATGGGAAAAAGATTTCGCTCAATCATAATCAGAATGACTTGTTTACTAGAACAATGGGCAATTAGCAGCGGGTTTCAACACGAGCCCTCGATTTACGGCGCTTTTTAAATGATCACGGCACTAGCGTCAAGATTTATGAAGGTTAAATAACAGCTCATCTTGGTCACCCAGTTTACCTAGTTTCATCTAGATAGATTTTGTTCTAATTGATTTTTTTCATCCAGATTACCTCCAGTGATCCAGAGTGTGTGTTGCCTGCTCAATTTTTTTCAAAGCAACTGGGCGAAGAATAGATCCACAATCCACCTAAGAAATATTGGAATGAGTCAGTAGTTTGAGACTTCCTCGTGAGGGGTGGAATTCCCTAAAAAAGCGTCTTGGTTTAGATTCACAAGGCACTATCACCACTGGTTTGCCTCAAAAAGGTTGAGGATCGTCATCATGTTAGATATATTTACACGCTGCATTTGTGTGAAGTACTCGAATTTAAACTTAGTTTTTCAAATGCATGAATTCTTCACTGATTTTGATTTGTACCAGGGAAAAGGCAAGTCGCGTCTTTTGCAATGGTCAAAATCGAACAGCATTACCGCTTAGCGTCGTGAAAATAGTACTAAGAAGTATGATAGTAGAAGGATGTAGATGGTTGATGTGCGAATTAGAAATTATATATAGAAAAAGAGGGGGGGAGAGAGTTTTTCTAACTAAACTAGTACTGTCTGCTACATGAATACACGAATAAAAAAGCGAATACCTGAAGCGGAGAAATATTTTATCGATATATAGTTTACCTGCGCAGCACTTACGAAGAAAAGCTGTTCATTTGTGTAATTCAGTGCAGGAAGTTGAGGTTCCTCGCCATTTTTCTCAATCCATTTTTTATAAGCCTGTAAAAAGACACTTTTTATTAGCGGCAACTTTTGACAGCAATTATCGGCTAAAAGGATTTTCCATCGATGAGGGTCCCGGGAAAGAGTCATCGCATACCTCCGGGGTCTTATGTTTACAGTCATACCAGGTTAACAGACAAAACAAAGCACGGTAGTTTTCTGATTTGTCAGATCTCACGAGGTTTTGAATAACTCATATGCGACAAAAGTAAATGCCATTTGAATGCAAAATGCTCCAATATCAAAACGTTTCCATGTTTCTGCAGCCTAAGTAAATTAAGACACTAAACACTGAAAATAATATTTGCTGAAAAATGTTTTTTTGTTTTTTTAATGACGTACCATAAACGCTTGCTTGATAGCTCCGTTGTCTGCAATATTTTCTCCAAGGGTTTGGATACCATTCAGCTATATTAAGAAAGGAATTAGGATTAGGAGACACTATATGCATGATGAATACCAAAACTTACCATGTTAAGGTTATAAATACAATCTGAAAGGCGGATTTTGTTGAGCACGAAAGGATTTCTCCCTCACTGGAATTAAAATGCTCATCTGGGTTATAGCAGAACAGTAAATAGTTAAAGACCTCAGACTTCAGCGGAACATTGTATGTGTTTTTGACTAAGCGTGAGGTCAAGATGGCTGGATATTGGCCGAATTTTTTTTTTCTTCAGAGTTTTTATGGACCAAGTCGAGGTTGAGGTTCATAACATGCTAAAAAAGAATGAGGCTAATATCCAGTGACTTTTAACGAACAAGTTTGGTCATTTAAAAGAATTTATTATACATCTGTCTATTTGAGCACTTTCCTTACAACGAATCAAAGGCAATCTAAGGCACGTTAAACGAGCAAAGCCCACCCTATGATATGTTTTATATATATAAAAATTCCTGTAAACAATAATAATTTTTTCAGCTTTTGGTTGTACATTTATTGTGAAAGAGATCTTAAACTGGAACTTTCATCTCAAAGTGTCATCGAAGCAAACAATGCATTTCACCTCATATTTTTCTCATTTTACTTAAAATCTTCGGTAGATAATCTGTTGCCGTAATGTTAGCTTACGGCATTTTGCGAGATTTACTTTATCCTTACAAATGTAAGATAAAGACGGATCGGTATGGCCGTTTACTTAAATACCCTTGTTTTTTGTGGCTTTTTACTGTCTTAAAATACCGGGCGCTTAATTAGGATCTTGACTAGGATCTTCAGTGGTTCATATTTTTCTCAAACACCGTCACATTCCACGAAAGGAAAGACACAGTCTGACTCTTATGATCTGCGTCAAATGCACTCACCTTTTTCGCATAAGCTTCAAAGTTTGAATATTGCCTTATAAAACACTGAGATTTTTTTTCAAAAGCTTCGTTAGATGACTCAGACCACCAGTTAACAAGATCACCGTTCTTGTTGTATTTCCGACCTGCAAAAGAGCATAAATAAGAACAGTATACAGCTGAAGTCAATTATAATTATCATGATATTGATAATAATTTTATAATTTTAGCAACAAGAGCAAAACGCACCAATACTTGTGGTAAAAAAACAAATAAATAAATTAGTGATAGTTTGTTTCACGATTTAGTCACTTCAAGCGTATCCAGTTTACCATACCGCCTGAAGGGAGACTAGTATGCAGTCGGAATGTAATGACTGACATCAGATGCGACTACATTGTCAGAAATATATGATTTTACAACACAAGTGCATGTATAGGTGTATGAACGACTACAATCTTTTTAAGGAAAAAAAAAAAATAAAAACATGAGAATCAACACGAAAGCGATGATGATGATGATGATTGGAAGGCATGATATGGGTCTGCAGTCCGCATTTGTACATCGGAAAATTTCTCAGCTATCAGTAAGAGAGTCAGCCATAACCTGCAGGAAAATTATCTCTCCGTCTCGCTGCATGTTTCGATCGTAAGTTTTGAGTTTTACTTTGCAGATCTTTTTCGCACGTCATGGTGTATGAACAAGGCATTTGTTGTAATCAGATAAAAAATATGCCTTGTCATGCTGAGAAAAGAGTTTCTCGGCAAGAATCATGAATCGTGTTCAAACCACGCATATTCATACCGTTAGAAGAAACCAACATTAAAAACGTTTCTTAGCTTGCATGTAGTGTTGGAGAATCCAACCGTGAAGAGAGAGGACTCATTTTTTCAAAATTCAATCCTGGTAAACATGACACAACCAGTGAAGAAAAGGATACTTAAAGTTTTATCCGTCCTCAACAGAACTTTCTAGAAAGCATAGAATAGGGAAACAAGCTTTTCCGAGAGCAGTCTTTTAGATAAAAGAGACAAAGGATGTATTACACGAGACGTTAATAAAGCAATTTTTTCTACAACCAGGCGGAAAGAATTCATAATAATATGTACTTATGACCGAGAGCCAAATATTTTCTCCTTCGATCGACCTAGCTCTTTAAAATGTTGTATGACTGTCGCTATTTCTACTTTTCTTCTCATTCTTGTTCGCATCTCGGGGCCCGTGTGACTTTCCTGATCCCGCTTACGCCATTTCATACGGCCCTCATACGAGAACTGTGCTCAAACTTTTTTCAATATCAGCGCCCACAGAGACATGGCATGATAGCCGTTATTTCGCAAGATTTATTTTGAAGTTGCCATTGTAATCATATAAATAAACTGAAACTCTTTTGAGTGAATGTAACGTGCCTTCTCTTATATAGGAGTCTTCCAAAAATGACAAAGCAAACAAGAAACGTTTAAAGAATAAATGGCTTTACATGCGGGCACCTGACTCTTTTGTTGTCCAGCCATCTCAATACCTAATCGAATCCCGAATCAGCAAGAGACAAGACCTTTCGTTCTCTGTGTTGTTAGTAACGGGAAGAATTATGTTCTTTACCATATCCTGATACCATTCACCCCTGAGTCAATTCGAAAAATTCGATCTCCCTGGGTGGTGGCCATATAAGTTATAACATCTAGCACGGATGTCCAGCGCGTTGGACACTCGTTCGATTTCGGTCAGCCCTACTCGCGCAAAAGGGGTTACATATTTACATACAGTGCAACTCGCGTTAAAATTATTCATTGGTAATTGTGAGTGTTTATTCGCCAAGTATTTGAAAAAAAGGGGAAGGGAATCATTTGAGAATGGTTTTGTGACATTTAGCATAATTCTCTTTCACATGTAGATTAATTGTCTCGAAATTGCTTTTTGCGTTAATTCTGGCTGGGTGCCATTTCAATTACAATTAACAAATCGACGTGGTTTACCGTGGTCTTTACTCTTATCGACGACGTGGTCAAAATGTTGTGGACTCACGAGGCGCAGCCCACACTTAACCTCGGTCGATTTGACTTTTACCACAATATCGACGTCAAATAAAACGATTCTTTCAGTGCGTGACCATTGCGAGACAGGTTAACGCGAGCAGTGTTATCTTTACTCTTATCTACAATGGCAAATTGGCCAATCAAATTGCGACATGACTGCCAATTGTGGTAAAAAACAAATTTCGAAACCGTTCATATACACGTATCATCTAACAATGATAATAATCAGGGTAATGATGAAGATGATGGTAATAATAATGGTGATGATTATAACAATGAATAGTAATCAGAATGATTATAACAATCATGATAATTATAAAATATGAAAATACAGTGATCGAAAGATGAATGTTTTCACGATGACAGTGATCGTCCTGACTCTGCTTTAGAGAACAGGGGCTGAGGTTTTGACAACTTGAGGCTTCTGTCTACTTACCACTTCTCAACAAATTGATGACGTAAGCCAAAATTTCAGAGAACAGGTTTTCTTTATTGCATAAAATGTTGTCGAGTTGCATGTAACTGGATGAACTGGATGGCTCTTATCAGATGAAAAACGAAAATTTAATCCAACTACAAACTTTGTTACAAAGCTTTAAATAATACTTACCATTGCTATCAAATCCATGCGTTATTTCATGAGCAACTACAATTCCTATTCCACCGTAGCTTATTGCTCTGATACAATAGAAACAAAGTGTTGAATAGTATGGCCATCTTAAAAATGTTTCTCATACGGCCAAAAAAATAAAAACTAAATTATTTACAAGACTTACAAGAGTACATGTCAGTCTCAGGTGAAGTAGAGAAACAATATCAGTAAAATTTAATGCGCATGAGGTTGCCTGATTTACTCAGATTAATCATGACATAATCTCACACGTGGCTTTTAAACATTTAAAATTTTTGCATATAGGAATCTCAAGCCAGTACGGGTGCTTTTATGTTATTAAAGGAAATTGTTGTTTTTCACAAAATATTCTATTTTGAAAGAGACAATTGTGCCCCAGTGCCTTTGCTATGCTGGAGTAGGGAAGAATAGGGAGGCAATAAGGAAGAAATGAGAGAATTAATATCCCTTGTTAGTCACAAGAGCGACTCTGAGTGAGCTTCAATTACGCGAAAACGACGAGGAATCACCACTGAAGATAAGACATATATGTTATTTACCAGCCGTGTGGTCCGTATTCGGAAAAACTGTGCCCGAAGTCTTAGATACGGTACTAAAGACAGAGGGAACAGTTTTTCCTGATATGGACCAACTTAGGCTGGTGAATAAAATATTTCTTTTCTAAAAACTTAACAATATGCTTTCCGAAAGAATCTTTAACTCAAACATGACAAATGAAAAGTAGGTAAGTAACCTTTGCCATAATTTGAACCCAGTATATTAGACTAACACAAAGCGTGATTTGATCTGCCAAATGACTGTCAAAGTCAACTGCTGAACATAGTTTCAGGGTTGATGTAATCAAAGGTGACGAGTTGGGTGTCAGAATGTCGTTTTTATTTACCCTAGTTTTGAGGGCAGCAAATGATCTTGTTGCTGCTATTACATATAAGTCGAAAATTAACACACAGTACAAGACCAATAATATTGATCGATTTTATCAGGAGCTCTCACCCTGCCTGACATTACAAAAAGGCAACGAAGCAAATCGGATCTGGTATTGCAACATTGGTTACAGGATGCCATAAGTTGCAACTGAGCCAACTCAGAGAAATGTATGTATGTATTTTGTCAAAAAGTTAGAAAATGTGTGCCCTTGATGTTCATCATCAATTGGTGTGTTTACTCGAAGATAATCCAAATATGGCTTCGGAAAAAGTTATCGAAAATGGCTCGACATGCGCTATTCCAAATTCTCCCCTCATTCAGATGTAAACGATACTCTTTTAACCAAAACAGTGTTGTGAGTATTATTGCCCCGCCCAGTTTCTCTTAGTTTTCTCGTGGACACGATCTTTACCTGGTTTTATCCGGGTTCAGAGGTTATCTGTTGTTAAATACCAGTTATTTGGCCTAGCCACAGTTGATTCACTGTCCTGGACCCGGAAGGACCTGAACTGTTTAGTGTCGTCAACATAATAGTCCTTTGCCGTTGCGGAATCGATGGTAAATCATTGGCATAAACTATGAAGAGGTGCCTAAGGATGCTGCTCAATGGAATGCTCCAGTTCATAAGCAACAGGTCGGACAAGGCAAAATCTATGCGCATAGCCTAGTACAATTGAGGCACCGGATAGCAGAAGATGGCAAGCCAATGTCTTGTTGAATAATAACTATCTCATAACTGATACTATCAAACGCCTTGCTCGTCTTAAAGAGAACAACAGCTGTTGTTCCCTTATGGTCCAACGCATTAAGAATACAATCAGACGTAAACAAGAGAGAAGTCTCGGTCGAATGCCAATGGCCCGGTAAATACATTGTAAGAAACCACTCGCTGTGATCGACCTGTTCTTGGAGGCATAGCTGATGAAAGTCCGAAGTCGAAAGAAAGGTAAAGTCTCGCGAAAGGTCATCCTCTCATACATGCACAAATACCGCCGTCGATCTTTCCATGGCCGCGATCCAGGCGCTATAAATCATAGCGTGGAATTTCAACCTCAACGTCCAGAACAAGCAGCCTAACCAGGTTTTCGAAGCCGTAAAGGTTTTAAAAACATTTTTTGCCTCAAAGTTTTTGATTGAGATGAAATTTCTCAGTTCCTCAGGAAAGCGCGCGTTCAAGTGAGTGATCTCTGCTCTTAGAAAATTATCGGCGAAATTGTTTAGTTGACTTCCTAACTTGTGTTAACCGTGGACCAAGCTTCTAGCAAGATAGCCACAACGCTTCAAAGAAATTTGAGGGATTTGGCTGAAACAGGGTTTCTAACCCAGAACTTAAGTTTTTTAGTTTAGTTTTGTCCTCTTTTGGAGAAGATAAAGCGACAAGGATAGGGAATAAAGCCGAAAAAGTCAAAGCGAATCAAGACGCGAGCGCAATTTACCTGTGTAGGTTTATATGGCTTATGATCAATCGATTGAATCACGGATTTAATCGAAGACTGAGGTATCTTATCTAGAGAGCACGAAGTAAACTCCTCGTGAAATAATATTATAGCGATCTCCAGCATTGTCGACATGGACTCATGCAATGTCATCAGTTCATTTACTAACTATTTCAAGTCCCGGTATTTGAAAAGACTACCCAATTTGATCTGGTGACTTATACTTTACAAAAATCCTCATCACCAATGCCCTAACCTTCATGGGGGTTAATGTACATTTATCCATTGACTTGCCATAAGTGTAAAATTGCTTCACAGAGGAGATCGATGGCACTCTCGGTTGGTGAATGAGAGTTTTAGTGAAGAAATGTAAAATGGTTTCCGTGTTTACATAGCCTGATGTAAACACGCGGGAGGTTGGGAGAACACGAGATAAGCGTAGGAAACCACGACGCGAATCGGAGTGGTTTCCAGCTATCGAGCCCTAACCTCCCAAGTGTTTACATCAGGCTATGTAAAACCGGAAACTATTTTACATTTCTTTTATAAAATAACTAATGAAAGAGGAATGAAAACCGTATTTTCATATGCTCATGTAAAATGGTTTTATGGCCAATCAGAGCGCGCGTACTATTTGAATTATTTCATAAAAGGGGTTCTAAATGGAATTGATTTTATTTCGTTCTCTGCAAGATATGTTGAATTTAACAAAAGTGACTTCTGTTCCTCTGTGTCACGGACAACTAAAGAGCAAAATTTATCCTATTGACGCATGTTTGCTGTCTCTAACGTAAATTAGAAAGAGGTTGCCCTTGCTTAAAACACTTACCGAGGAAATTTTCTGTTGTAAAATGGAATTTGAAGTATTCCGGCTGGAAAAACTGCCGAAAAAATGAGAGGGCAAACATAAATAGGATACAAATCAACTATTTATTCTAAAGCATCTCAGCGATCCATATCCCAATCCGTTTTTGCTAAGTATCCCTTGTTCTAGATATAAAAGTTATAGTTTGAACAAGACCCAAAGGACAAGAGAGGAGGTAAGATCAAGTTACATACATTTGCATTGTTAAACATAGCCTGAAAATTAAAATTTCCCTCAATCAATGAGTTAACGGAATGGTTTTTTTTTTTACATATTTATAGCTTGTGTAGCCTACAGACGGAGATATGTCAGTCTGGTGGATCTAAACCTTGTACATTGTAAGTACTTACTTTTAATTTGACTGGATTAAGATGACGCCTTTGAAAATATTTATTACATAACCTGAGTTGTGTTACAAGGATTTCCAGCTCTGAGAAAAGCTATAACTGCGCACGCGTAAAATTGAGATAATTTTTTACCTGCGTTCGATATCGGTAATCAGCTGTTGATGTAACTCGCCTTTCGCGCCCCTCTGTCAGGTTATTAGTGAATAGCAAAGTGTTTACCATTCTCACTGCTAGGTCTTTTGTCGAAATTTCTCGGATTATGGCTGCTAATAATACTGAAAGATTCTTATCGCTCATAGAAATTACAAACCCCTTCACGTTTTCTTATAGTTTATGCTTCACGAGTTTAAAGAAAACTCTCATTCATAGCATCTCGCAGAAACAACCGAGGATGCGTCAATAGCTCGTTCAATAACAACTTTCTGTCCGAAACAAACCTCTCATCGGGAAACCGTTTAACATCATAGTAATCTTACATCTACGTAGGCTACACCTTTCGTCACTACCTAAAACTGAGCTACTCCGAAGGACAAAAAAAAATTGAAAGCAAAAACAAAATTTACACACGGATACACACAAACATTACGAGAGAAAAAGACGAGGTTGGTCTGGGTCGTTAACAAATGTCTTATGGAGTCCTGGAGAAATTTTGCTAAAATAGGGCAAGATTTTAAAGGGTTTGGCTTTCCCAAGGTGTACCCTCTGAATTCAATTTTGTCGCGGGGCTGTTCGATTTTAAGGCTTTTTCCAGGAATCCATATGCGACCTCTTTGGTATTTCCAGTTGCACCATGCAGGTTGAGAGATCTTTCATTGAGATTTTCCGTTCCAAATAAGCCTCTATATTCATCAACTGCTTCTTAAATACAAGTAAATCGTTTTCCAGTTTCCCTTTATCGCATTGCATATCTTTATCAATCTCTTTAACAGTCTTACCAAACTTTTGCGTCTTGATCTATAAGGTGCTGATTTCTGAATCTATTCTGTATACTGTCTTCCTGATGTTAGCTATTTCCCATTGGATCCCATTGATTTATATCTCTAGAATGTCCACCTTTACTGTCTTTTTTGAGAATTTCTATAACCTTTCTACCAGGAGCTTCCCTGATGTTAGGAGCCTTAATTACTTCATCATTCTTAGCTCTCGATCGGTTTTCGTCAGGAGAATTTTTTCAATCTGTGGATGATGACGATGACTGTCTATTCTTTCTCATTTGCATGTAAATAATTCGTTAGGTGGTGCAAAAAGCGAGAATAATGCTGGAGCTGAGCGAATAACTTTCACTGCTCCACCACACTAGTCTCAGTCTCCTCAAATTGTACTACTTGTGTATCGTATTGAGAGTCGTCGCATTATGGACGAATTTGAACGATGCTGGGATTTCTCTATATTAGTAATCTATTAAACCAACAAGGAAACATTTTTAAAGTTTATTTTTTTTTTGCAGAAATGTCAAGTCAGATGTTTTGGCGGAATCATCTCGATTCTCTTCTAGGACATTCAAGGTGAAAAAAGTTTGCATAACGGAATTTTTAACCGTCACGGTAGAATGAAAGGTCGGTGGTGATTGGTTACTTCAATCTGTCGATAACGTTAATCATTTTTGAGAGGTACTGTGTGTTTGTTGTTTCAATGTCGGGTATGAGTCATTTCTATGGAGACGGGAATTAATATATTATCTCTCAAAAGGAATTTGTTCCCAGCTAATAAGACAGCAGTTTAAGATTGTTTGTTGAAAGTAGATCGTGCTGCAGGTTATCTGTAATTTCCTATGTTGTAACATTTCCTAGAGTCTCGTCGCTCATTTTTGCGCATTAGGGCTTTGATTAAGGCTTCTGATAGCTGTCTAGATGTATGAGATTAGGGAATCGGACTTGCCTTAATCTTCATTACTTGAAAATTAGTTACTTGTATTTACTTGACGTTTCTGCAGATGATTATTCTCATGTACTTACTGATTTTGTTGGTCACTCTGTCGTAGAAGGCATTGACCGTATGTGGGTGAATCATCCACCTAAATTAGAATAAATTGGAGAAATTGTGACTTCATCATTAAACAGGGAATTGGCTGGGGTTTCGCATAGCGAATAGCAGGCGAAGTAAAAATTTAACATTTTAGCTGTGATTATATATTAACGCTTGCTATGTGAAAAAGTTTTCAGCTTTCAAATCCTGGCGAAAAGAAAAATCCCGATGTATTTTCAAGTAAGTTACGCAGGATCTAATAGATTATAAATAAGAGACGTTCTTTCCGAAACATTTTCCCGAATCTCCCCGAATTTTTTCTGTACGCGAATTTTTTTCCAAACTAGAGTAATGTAATTGGCCCTTACCTTTCTTTGTCTACAACATTACGAAGATCCTTTAACATTGTCTTCATAGAAAAAGTTCGGATGCTAATCACATTGTTGAAGTAAGAGGAATTATCCATTGTTAGCTGAAACAAAACAAGAAAAAATTAATTTTGTTATTATGAAATTACTAAAAATAATCAAGTTCAATGAGGTAATCACGGTCAATTTACAGTTCCACATGTATAAAGTACCGTTAAATTTGTAATTTGTAAACAACATATCTTTATGTTTATTTAATCAAACTTTTACGGAAGTCTATGCATGTCGGGACACAGCCAATACACAAACGTTGTATAGTATATTTGGTAGATTCAATCCATGCATGAAGGGTACAAAGTTTTTAAGGCCTCAGTTTGATGTAATCATTTTAATTATATCAAGAGACGATATCGATAATGGGGAACATAAAGCAAACACCACCAAAATCGTCCAAAATCTAATGATCAGGGGGTTGTTCAATATACTCGCATTATAACGTTTGTGTAAGCAACATTACGGTCCGTATAGTTATTACGGACCATTAACGTGACAGTCGTCGCTACCTTAAGCGTGGTATACGGTCCGTGAGTTACAATTAATTAATAGAATAGAGGAAGTTCATGCTGAAAAAGTGGCTACGTACGGTTTGCCAATTCATTAGTGGATACGTGTTTTTTTCGTTCCATATTAATTGTGTTCGTCGGAATCGACCGTAACATTCTTCAAAGGTCCGTCAAGAGCTAACTACTGTCTCTAAATTGCAGTTTTGGGAATATTTCCATGAACGCGTTTTTGTTCGTCAAACAACAAGTCCTTTTTTGTCACTCATGGATGCGAAGGAAAAAGATATGCAATCAACAAAAGGTCGAAAGTTGTGTGTCAAGTGGTCTTTGCATTCTTTTGGTAACAGTTTTTCCAACAGTCAGCAGCTGAAGCGCCGATTTGTTATTTTTTTCCATGCTATTGATGCCGACGTGTGCGTATGTTTCTCATTCTGATTCAAGATGAGACCTCTCTTTCAGTGGGTCCTCTATCTTAATTCCGAGAAATTTAAGAAGCAAAAACAACGCATTCAAGTAAGAAAAAAATTGAAATATTTCAGTGTATTTATTAGTTTTTCTATGGGTTGTGTGGTTCTTTTCAACAAATCCCTTTTAATTCTATCTTGTCACCAGTCCATTTCATTATATAGTCGCATGAAATGCATTTCGCTGGAAGGTAAGCATTTTGTGAGTGTTTGTGTTTTACATTTTCGGGTATTATCGGCATCCTACCGCTAGCTTGATTATAACATTACGCTCGAAAAGGAAAAGATCGTTTGGAGGAAATAATAAGCTGTTACCAAAAGTAAAGACCACTGAAGCTTAAGAAATTTCTTATTCAATCTCTTTAACTACATACGCATTCATACCACCATTTTAAAGGGACTACACAGGTCACTACTAACCTAAAGGTTGGGGGAACATCTATAAAAATAAAATAATCTTGTCTGATGTTTTTGGGGTAAGCACTGGATGCACCTCTATCCCTGTTCAGCCCACATTACTCGCTCAAATGTTTTAAGAGCATGAATTTGTTGCTGGGGTTATAAAAGAATGCATATGCTGCTTCAGAGATGTGGTATAGAGAAAAGGAATATAAACCAGGCTATTTTGGAATATGATAAATGCCTGGCGTTAGACAAGGAAAAGGGCCGTTTTGAGTATCACTCGACCTTACAATATCAAGAAAAATGTGAACCACGGTCACGGTGGTATGTTCAAGACTTAAAGTATTCTTTCATTCGTATCTACAATTTAAGCTTTTTTTTTCGTCACAGGTGCCTCCTAGTGGGGTAGGAGCGGTATTTAAATCGGGGATATTTGAACGAATTTGAACACGTTGAATTGAAACACTACATTTACTACCTGAAAAATTTGGCTGTCACACGCAACAATGAGCGATAACACTATTTCAGCCGACACTTTGAACAAACGTGAGCCAGTAATTCAAGGACAGATGGCTTAGTGATGTTCGTCAACCTGGCTGGGAAAATCTTTTTGCAGTTTCTGAATCTTTAAGGAATCTAAGGGAACCTAAATAGAAGCTGGAGAGATGATACCCGACATAGGCCTAACTACTCCACACATCTCGCATCAACTCCAATACTACAGTAGTTAGAAATAGATTTGTATGTATATACACCCATTAGCGTTACTCCTGTTTTGTCAACTGATAACAAGTAAGGTTGATTGTTTGGTTAGGAAAGGGGTAGATGCGCAGTTGTTCACATACTGATAGTGATCCAAATGAATTAATTACGTGAGGCTCACCTATACATGTAAATCGAAGTTTGACTTCATTTCCCCATTCCTTCTTACCACCGACCAGGAAAACTGGCCAGCATCGCGCACGCATTTTTCATATGACTCCTTCGTTTTTGAATGATGATAACGTAGAATCTCAATCACATTTCAACTTACTGGTAAGTACCATTTCGTTTTGTAAGTAACGTAAATTTTGTTGTCACGCGTAAAGAACAATGGATACTTTACATATACACTCTCAACTTGATTAGCGATTGTAGCTTTTGAAGTAATGTGTCTTTTGTCTTCATCTGTTTGTTTACTTGAATTTGTGAGTAACCCAAGCAACGGGTGCACTCCGATTGCGTTGGATTATGGTAGCGTTGTTTTCAATATGTCGGTGAAGGCGGCAGATATCGGCAGATTTTGACCGAACCTTCCGTAGAAGTTCGACCGTTCATTGTTCTTTCACTGAATACTGATACTGAATTTGTATAATTTTTTTTTACGTATTTATCGCGTATTCAGTGGTTCTCAAGGACAAACGCAATCACTGTTTTGTAGTATGTAACTTGAGACCGGTTTTCGAGAAGGTCTGATTTGATGTTCATCGTAGTTTGAAGCCTTTCAAACGTTGGAATGGCAGCTTTGATCCTTCTTTAAAAGCCCTGACTAAATGAGAGCGCAGATTAGTAATCGAAGAAAAGGAAACAGACAATGAATCCCGTTTACATTCTACGCTACCTCGCTGCCGCCATGCACAAAAAATGTTCCCCCGACCGCGACAGAATGCAAATGACTAACCTTTTGTGTTACGACCATAATGCAACGTAATCAGAGTGCGCACACCGCCTGTGGGTAACCTGTTTAAAAACTGTGGTACGTAACATATAATTCTTGTGTCGTTTGCCTACTTAATGAGCATTCTTAGCGCTGCTTATTTGCGTGGCCTGTGGTTCCATGTTTAACGAACGAGGCATAGACTCTCTATTCTTATAAGTTCTCTGATTGGCTTGTTCTCCACATTGATACCATTTACTTTGTGGTGTTTACAAAGTGCATCAACCATGCTAAAGCCGAACACATATTAATTTGCTATTTCAATATGTCACTGACAAATGTTAACGAGCTATTCTCAGTTTTACGCTAATGAAACAAGGTGTTCACATAATTATTTGCTTGAAGTTGTCTTGTAATAGGAAAAAAAGAACAAATGCGCACGAAACTGAACACTGTTTGATGTGTCAAGAAATACACGATCCATACGCGCCGCAACCAAGGTTATCTGGAACTGACGATCCGGTCCGCAACAGTTTGACAGTGTAACCGAAGTCATGCGTAATTCTGCTCATCATTTATTAAAAAAAATCGACATCTCTAAATTACTAAACGTGAGTAGGAAAATACATGTTGAAGAACGAAAACTTACATATAAACTCACCACGAAGAAAAACATTAACCTTAAGTAGTTACAAAAAGCGGATTCTGGAGCATCGTCAAATGCCACAAGTCACACCCCTCTTTATTTAACTGCTGTATCACAGATCAACGAATTCATTAGATAAAAACCTAGGTTTCTGACACATTTTGAATTTCACAAGCCACCTCCTGTAAAACGCAAAGTAATTAACACACGCAACTGCCACACTTGCATGCTTCTTGATAGTTTAATACGACAGGATCTGCATCGATATTGTATCTTCCTATGAAGAAGTCGTGTTGTGCCTTGATTTTTTCTTCTGTCAAAACAGTGTCTATGTAAATGAAAACAGTCTGACAGTCTGAGTTTAAACCTTCATGATAAACACCCTCATCATCATCATGTTATAAAAATTTCCCCATACAAATTGTTTATTAGAATTTACTATTTTTGCATTCAAGTTGGTAAGCTTTTTCCATTACATCGGAAAGAAGGAGCATAACTCACATCATTTCGACTTTGTCCGTTCCAATGACAGCTGACACGATTCACCAGGATTGATCAGGTCAATTGAAAAACTTATTTTAATTCATACTCTGTTAATCATCATGATCAACGAATTCCTTCGGGAGGTAGTTCAGTTCCAGCAGTAACTATCAAGAGCTCTTCTCTAACGAAACCACGCTTTGGTCCATCCTTCAGGTAATAGAGAACAGTTTCATTCTTATTCACAATTTTTCTCTCCATACCGTAGACCTTCAGAGACGACACTGGATCTGTAGTTCGCCTTTGACTACCTTCCAACTCACCAGTTGCATCGAGGAATCTCACATTCTTTGAAGAGTCTCTTTTCCTTCAAGCCAACCGGTTTTGAATAAGTAATCGAACTCTCCGCGTTCACCAACTTCTTCCGTCAACCACCTTTGATTGCGTCAACAGGATTTTTTCCCGTCAACCTGGTCACTTCTCCCATTCAGTGGATCTCTTTGATGAGGATGTGTCCCCTGATCCCTGTGAACGTTTACATTCCCTCTTCTTCTCCTCAATCAATACTTTGCCATCTCTCTTGTAACTTCAGCCATGATTTCACACCGAAAATCAACTTGAAGAACACTGGTCCATCTCAGTGGTCCTTGCCTATAAACTGTCTTAAAAGTTCTTGAGACCTCAGAGGAGTCCTTTGAGGTGAGAGGTTCAGCAGACTTGGATCTGCTTGCAACTTTTCTAAAACTTTTAATGCATACTTATAGACTTTCCTTCCTCTCGGGAGTCTTTCATGGGGAAGGAAAATGAGATCAGCTTGATGAACTACATTTGGGGATTACACATGAAAAGTAGGTCTTGGTATATGTTTCAGGGTACGCAAGTCAATCTGCCAGATGGCTTGCTTCATCAGCCA